GGCGACGACAGCGACAACGGCGACGACAGACGCAGATGATGGCTATCTGTACATAAAAAAATGAAAAAAGAGCATAACTTCCATAAAAATGGCCCGATCATGCTGATTTTCGAACTTGACCTGCGTATTATGTATATTCATTAGTTCCATAAGTTTCAAGCCAAAAGGTAAAACGGTTTTTCACTTATCGTGTTATCGGTGTTGCATATATGCTGAAAAATGTGAAAAAACAGCATAACTTCCATATAGATGGCCATATTATGCTGATTTTCGAACTTGACCTGCATATTATGAAAGCTCTTCAGTTCTGTAAGTTTCAAGCCAAAAGGTAAAATGGTTTTTCACTTATCATGTTATCGGTGGTCAAAGTGCACGGCGACGACGACAGACGCAGGTGATGGCTATATGTACAGACACATCTGTGTCTGTACATAATAAAAGAACATGACAGCAGGCGATATTTGCAAAGAAACGCTGGATATGTGAAAGTCCTACCGAGATGGCGATCCCATCCTGAAGTGAGAACGAGCTTGGATCTTGGCCATCAAAATAATTTTTGTCTGTTTGTACCCGACACCTTTTACGGGCAGTGATATCAGGAATTTCCTTAACTCCATTTCACTAAACATACACACACACACACACACAACTTTAAGCCTGAAACAGCTTTTGCAATTTTCCAATAATCACATGACACAGTAAATTTCTTATGAATGTATTTCCCAGTAGGCCTCATGTATAAAATTACAATTATTCCATTGAATGGTATTTTCATAGTGTTTGCCACTGTGTAACGTTCTCAAGCACATTTTGTCCTTAAAACAATCACCAATTATACAACTGGCAAATGCTAGCAAAATTTACTCGCATAGTACAGTAACATAGTGCATTTAGACTGAAGTGTATCTGGTGTGTGTGGCTCAAAATACACATAAACACCAAAATCTTAAAACAATATTTAGAACATTTTTGGAATACAGTTAGTAATATAAAATGAGCTTTTAAAAAAAGATTCTTTTTGACTTTAAGGTTAATATTGATTACATCTACAGATTATAAAGCCCTAGATATTCCTCTTCAAAAGAAATTACATTTTACAAACATACCACAATAGAACATGAATAAGTAGCCAGCTTTTATATCTAGAGCACCACAAAAGAGCTACTTTATATGCACTTAAAATAATTAGGAACTTCCATTTTAGGTTTGATTTTGAAAATGCCTTTGTGCTGCAAAAAACTTGGTCACCGTAACACCATCTTTTTCTCAAAAATTATATCCATTAAATGTATTAAAGTAACCAATTCTGTTGTCTTTGCAAATAAAGCATATTAAGCAATGCATATTATATGTATGTTGACTACTTATTGTTTTAAATAAAGATCATATCAGTATTTTATTTGGAACTTTGAAGTTATTATAGGCAGACTGAAAATGTAATCCTCATCTGATGCATTTGTACTACAGAAAATGGGAAAGGAATGCCTGGTATATTTCTTTGTTGTTTATTTCCATGGAAACAGATGGAGCATGTAGAACTGTTTTCTTCTCAGTATTAAGTGAGCTTCTGAAATGCATATTCCCAGGTGGACTGTGTCACATTTTATGCATTTTTGTTTTTACGTCACTGTAACACCCACACTTGATCAGCCTTGCAAAACAACTGATATTGGTTCCAACATTTTTCTGCATAGTCCACAACCAAATCTAGTAAAATCCAATTCACCTTGGTTGTGAGCCTTGACTGCAAAACTTCCTATTAATTTCAGCTAAGATGATGGAATATTGAAATGATTTTTCAGCACTTAAGTTATCATAAGAATTGTCCTCCTCTTTTGATTCTGATTGCCTCTCTGATGCTGAGTTTGATGGAGCTAAAATACAATGAAAATAAAATATAATCCTGTGACCTCTGATATAATTCACTATTGTCAACAAACAGATGAAATAGTGATTGTAAGAAAAGTGAACGTGTGTGTGTGTGTGAGTGTGTGTGTGTAACATTTATTCTGCTATCCCCTGCATGGTTTGGCAAGAAACAAGCCCTTATCACAGGCAGCAGTTGATATATAATTATACTTACGACACAACAAAATAACACACATCACTCACACCTTCACTTTCTCTGTCAATTTGGGTTTAAAAACAACTTGGGTTAAAGAAAACAATAACATTCTAGAGGAATACTGATCTGGTGCAAACAATTTTTTTTAAATTGGACTCAAGAGAAAGTTTGTCACAAAGACACCAGGGTGTGAGCTCTTACATGGTGATGGAGTCGGTGAGTCTGTCTTAGGTTTGTTCTGAGACCCTTTGGGCCTCCCCCGCCCTCTTCTCCTGCCATCTCCAGGACTGGTACTACTGCATGTACTGGTGGTCTGCAATAGAAACAGATATGTCTTAATCTAGATATAAAAGATCACTGTTTTTTTTTTCATTGCTTCAAAATGATCCATTCATTTACAAATACAATTAGTCACAAATTATACAAATATCTAAAAAAAATACAGAAAGCATAATAATATTATATAGTAAGCATAATTATATTAAGAATGTATCAATATTATTACATATGATTCTCAAGTTAGTACCCTTTATTCAATAAATATTTCTTAATACAAGACATTTTCCTACTTACCCCTAAGCTATGACAAATATTTGTGACACATATTTTTCTATTTGAAGTAAATTTTCTACTCACACTTCAATTAAGACTGATAGCAACAAAATAAAACTTAGTCTTACAAAAATTTTAGTCATGATTTAATAGCTGAAACTGTGTAAAAAAGTTCAATAAAATGAGTTTGTTTTTTTTTTTCATCAAACAGCTAAGATGAACAATGTGTTATACACACCCGTCTCCTTGCAGTGGACACCAGTCTAAGATCTATGGATTCATAGTAGGAAGGTCGTTCTTTCTTTGTTCTTTCTGACATCCGTCTTTTCTTAACTTCACCTGCAGGAGGATCTGTAACAGATATAAATATACTACACAGTTAAACAAAACTATCTCAGTACATATATATAAAACTATATATATTATGATTTATTTCCTTGTTGTCTATGAAGTGTTGCTGTTTGTAAATAAATATTCATTAACAGAGCAAAAGAAAAAAAAAATATTTATTAGGGATATTGGCTGAATAGAACAGGGAATGTATACCTAATTTAGCAGCAGTCCTTCTAGCTGGATATACATGACCACAAGGACAGGAACGGCAAGCGACAGGAATCTGGGGAAAAAAGGCAAAAAAAAAAAAATTCCAATCCAATTTTGTTCTTGTATAAGATAAAAAAATTCAACTTAGCCTGCTTTAAACAATGTAACTTTTTATCATCTTTCTGGATAAAAAATACAGGCAGATTTCATATAGCATAGATTGAGATTTTAAAGAAAGTTTAATTGGGATGCATTCAGGAAGCTTCACCCCAAATACATGATATGTTTTAGATAAACACTGGGTGTCACTTTAAATATATATTTTTCTCCAAAATGACCATGCACATGGAGCTGGCTGCACATAAAATTTTACACAATATATCCAACCATTTGCAGTTATGAAATTACATTAAATACATCATTATCTAAAAATAAAAAGTGTGTATAAGAGATTATAAATACATAAATAATCACAGGTTTATTTTCACGAAAAAAATATTTCGAAAAATTAAAAAAGAGAAAAACTTTTTTTAAAAACAAAAAGAGTGCAAAGTCAACACTCACTTGCTGTTTACATGCAGGGCACCGTTTCGTCACTGTTCTAGTAAACTTATCTTTCGGTCTGGAGCTCATTGCACGAAACGAACTGTATAAATATCGCGAAATGTACTAGGCTATAAAAGTAAATTAACTGCTCATTTTATTCACGCTTTCTCAGTGTTGACAAACTGCATCCGGAAGTCTCGCGTGTCACGTGACTAAAAGATGGGCCTCATCTCAAACCACCACAACAACAACAGTCAAAATTTGCAATTTAAAGGACTGCTTGTTTGAAATATTTCACTACAACCAAATTCAACTTAAGATAAGATATAAACATTAAGTATGCAATATGCCATTAGATAGAAACCTAATTTTTTTGTTTGACCTAGATTAGTTCACGATGGCAGAACGAGAGTCTCGTTGACACTGTTTTCTGGGTCACTACAACAAGTGCTTGGCGATCTGTGCAACCTTTAGGCATTCCACAAAATTCCATAGCATATTGAAGAAAATATAGAATGGTAAGTTAATATTTCTAGTCAGCAAAGTAGTAGAGAGTTAAGGTTACTAAATTAAGCAAAAATAGACGCAGCGTGATGTGTTTCCGTTGTTTGATCTTCTCATAAAAATAACGTACTAGTTAATGTCGAGTTTTTGTAGCTTACTCGGGTTAATCTTTTTCGTGTTCTACGTGTAAGTCTGCAGCTTTGCTGCCGTTTCTGCTACGTCTTAATTAGTCTTGAATAAAAACTTCGGTTTTGTTTAAAAACTGACAAAACTAGTTGCGTTTTTGAAGGTTTGGTGTGCTTTGTTGCAGTTTGCAATCTCTGACACTTAATCAGAACTTGGACGAATTAATTTTATAATTACTCCTCCAAGATAAGACAAGTTCATTGAAAGTTAATGTAGTGAAAGGTCTTGGTTTCAAGACATTTGATAAAATGACAGTCTACATTGTATTGCCTTGTACAGATAGCCAGTGTAATAGTAGTGTTATGAGATCACGGTTATTTTCTTATTATTCAAAGTGACCAGTTACTTAATTATCATAAGATGCTGAAGGTGATGTGGTGTGAATAAAATTGTGCATGTGTCTTACAAGAGAGGAAAAGTTTATAAATACAAGACAAACTTTTCCTAAGATGTACAATGTATGTAATCTTGAAAACTAAGACTGGGAAAATATCAGTAACAAAAGGTATATATTTATCACAAAATTTTATCATTTAAATATTCAAATAAAGAAAAATATTTCAATAGAAAATTAAAGTTGACCTGATTACAAAAATCTCATAATTCTCTTTAAGCCCAGTGAGACCACTCAGGTCAAGGTGGTGGTCAAGGCTCGCCCCCTTCTGGAGGTGGAAGAAACCAAAGGTGGGAAAAATGTGGTCAAGATATCTGGAGACAAAATCAGTGTGGACACAGGAGGAAAGGTCTGTTCAGTGTTTAATGCTTTGAAATAATGATTTTAGTTCTTACTCTTGTGAATACAATTACTGAATCTACCAGTACAAAGAATTAGAATCCATGAAATCACCCCAAGACACCTGAGAGAAGTGTAAATACCTTGAAGCCAATTGATAAAATGGTGTTGAAAATCCTTTATAGGCATTCTGAAATGCATATAGGATTATGATGTCACATTAACTTGTTATTGTCAATACACATCATCCAAATTTATCTTTGAATTGCATTGTTTAACATATTAATATGTCTGTGCACGTTTTCTCAGGAACAGACATTTGTATATGATGGAAGTTTTGCTGGAGATGTGAAAGCAGTGAGTATTAGAATTGTTTGAAATACGCTTTCAACTTAGTCTAGCATTTGATTGGAAACATTTGTTATAACATTTGTTATAGTTAATTTTTTCTTTGAAAATAAATTTATCAACCAATACTGGTATGAATAAGAAAATGAATGTATAAATAGACATTCTTTGAAAATAAATGTATCAACCAATACTAGTATGAATAAGAAAATGAATGTGTAAATAGACAGTTAATTAAGCTGAGATGATGTTCATTCTTTATGGTATGCAGCATATATGATATATTAACAAACTGTGATCTTTGTTTTATTTGAATATTTCATACTAGAACCAGCTGTACAAGGACAGATGTGAACCACTCCTGCAGAAAGCATTGGAAGGATACAATGTCAGCATCATGGCTTTTGGTGCAGTAAGTAGACCTAAATATTTTATGTACATTATCATAATAAGAGAAGTATGAAGTAATTCAAGTTAACAATAATTTATTTAAATTAAAATTGATAATATATTGTAGTTTAAAATGAAGAAAGCTATTTTAAGAAGGAACATATTTATTAATTTACTATAATATACAGATTAACTTACTTACAACATGTAGAGATTATTTGGAAACAAAACAGAGATTTTATGTATGTCCAAAATGTACCTTCAAAGATTCACACCTAACAGCATGCTCACTTTGTTATGTTTTTATTTTAGACTGGTTCTGGGAAGTCCCACTTGATGTCAGGGACAGAGGATGACCCAGGGATTGTTCCTTGTGTAAGTTGCATGTAACAAAAAGTAAATAAATAAATAAATAAATAAATAAATAAATAGAGGCCCTATATAGAAATTGGAATTTGATAATTAAATGCATTTAATCCATATTGTTAAAATGCACTTTTGCATCAAAATTCTAAGACTCAAATAGGGAAGTTTGGCGTAGATAAAAATTAATTTATGGTGACAGCCTAATGCTTACAAATTCGCTTGAAGCCTCAGATTCAATGCTACATATTTTGGACAGGCTTCCTCAGCCTCGGATTCAGTGCTACATAATTTTTGCCAAGCCTCGGATTCAATGCTGCTTAATTAGGTGCACTTTCTTAAGACAGCGGATCTAAAGCTGCATCTCCGCCCAGGGTCAGACACTTTGTAGTCTTGCCCAAGCTTGACAAAGAAAGGAAGATACTACGGCCAAAGACTTCAGATTTCACAACTCCGTACACTGGCATCACCCTGAGCTTCAGAGCTAACTTGACACTAACCTCTTCACTGTAGCCTATCTTCATCGTGTCAAGTAACCTCTGACCAGATTCGATTGCCTCCGCCGCCCGCCAATCAAATTTAAAAGCCCGCACTCAATGACTCATTAAACGATCTAGCCAATGAACGCGAACGAGTCAAAGCGCGCTTTGTTCAAATCCGGACCAATCAAAGATAAGGCTGAATATCAGGGACTTGCCGTAACCTGTGGGCAGCACGCAAATAACATCGTCTCTCAGTAGATAATGATGCAGGGCCTCAAACTGCTAGACCCTATGGTTTCAATTCCGATTTACTCATATTTTGCAAAGAATCAAGAGATAACTTAACACATTCTTTTTCGTAGTCACTCGCCTTGCTTTCTTTGTGTACGGTAATACACTCGGAACTACTCGGATGTCTCCGCACTCGACAATAACTTTGTTGTTAGTATGGAGCTTGCGGAATCAGCCGAGGATTGCCGATTGACGGTCAACCAATCAGCGTTTTCACCAAACTTTGGTGAAAAATTTTGAAACATGGATTTGATTGGCTTATATAAACTAGGTCAAACTATTTTCGTCAGAGGTTACTTGACACGATGAAGATAGGCTACAGTGAAGAGGTTAGTGTCAAGTTAGCTCTGAAGCTCAGGGTGACTGGCATGGGATAGCCAGCCATATGGTCCCTAAACTGGTCAGATATGACTTGGGCATCCTTTACCAGGTCCGCTCAGACTTGGTCATACTTGTCATTGGGTCCAGTGACTTCTCTGATCGGAATGTTTCCCTCTTCGGTCTAGCTTAGGACACCGAGGATCTTGCCCATAGTTTCCAAGTCGAATTTGGCGTTGCACATGTGGTGGTGAACCAAGTTCATCACAGGTTGCACTTACCTCATCCCACTTTTAATGACCAGGTTAACGAGCTGAACATTTTCCTTTCAGATTTGCCCCTTTGCCCCTTACACATTCATTTATTTGGTTTTGGAAAAACATAGGTGTGCAGAATCCCACTCGGCTGCACATCTAGCCTGATGGGGTGCACCTTTCCGATGTGGGACAATACAAACTATACTGTTGTCTGTGTGGTGCCATCGTCAGGATGGCCTCCATAAGACTTTCTAAATTTCTTCCAGTAATATGAGCTAACCCCCTTGCATTTTCTTTAACCGGGTTCTGACCTTTTTAGGACCAAGGTACACCTAAAAACTGTGGTATTTTTTGATTTACTGTTTTGGATGATTTTCAGTTGAACCATAGTCTGTACAAGCATGTTGAAGAAAAAGCTGGGAAGAAAGAATTCTTTATCACAGTCACATTTGTTGAGGTAAGTCTCTTTATTCTAGTGCTTTACCTCAACTGTAAAAAAATAATTTTTTATGATATTCTACAATACATTTCAAAGTTTTTTTAGCAGGATAAGTTCATAAGTCAATTGGGGCAAAACAACATGGTGAGGTTTTCCTAAAATTGAACTTTTTGTTTTTGGCCAAATTATTGACCAGAATTTGTTAAACATTTTCAGTGAAGATAACAAATCATTTAATTCTTAATAATGGTTGTTACAGTTACTGTTTTAGTTTTTTTTAATAATAAAGAATGGGAAAAAGTTAAATTGATATATGTACCTCATTTCAGATTTTGGATGAACAAATGACGGACTTGTTAAATCCACATTCCAATGAGATGAGAGTCAGACAGCACCCACAGCTTGGAATGTAAGTCATGTTCCATCAGCACAAAACATAATTAGTAATTTTTTTCTGATGTAGACATTAGGCATTTGATGTTTCTGTTTCTGTTACTGTGTACTATCTACATCAGAGATATTACACAGTATTTACTCCTGTTACTGAAGTGATATCTTTCTCTAGCTAGTATAAGTGTTAAAATACAAGTTTTGTCCAGCCTGCTGATTTATGAACTCTGAGTGTAACCAGTAATCTGAAAGCTGGTTAAATTTAAGTGTTCTTTTTTGACTGTGTTGGGTATAATTTTTACCAGAGAGAACCTTGATTAAAGTGAATTAATTACCAGATAATCTTTTTTTTATGTACAGACACAGATGTGTCTGTACATATAGCCATCATCTGCGTCTGTCGTCGCCGTCGCCGTCGCCGTCNCATAGTCCAGAAACTATAATCTTATTGCAGGGGTGGATTGAGGCCGTCTTCTGGGTCTTTCAGATGACGGTCAGATTTTAAAGTTTACATTGACTGGTATCAATTTTTTTCTGTTGGAAGACCATCAAAAGTGGAGGATGGATCAACAAAGATACTTTGGAATAATGTCAGAAAATACCTCTGGATCTGCTCCTGTTATTGACCATGTTACCTGTTGTGCATGATCAAAAATCAGTGTTAACTGACTGTGTTATTATAAGCATTATTTATTATTGCATCAAAATTGACAAAATGACCTATTTTGCATCTTTATTTTCTGTTTTTTGTCTGTACATTTGACAGCTTTGCTGCCTTGTTGTTATAAATAGGCACACTAGTACTTTCTTACTGACACAAACACAGGATAAAGTGTTTCACTGTAGGATATTTACTAAAGTTTGAAAATGATTTTGATTTATGATTCCTCCAGGTCCATCTGATCCTCATTATGGTAGGTTGTGGTAATTACTCACAAATGTTAAATCCCTAGCTTATACCAAATAATTTTTTTTTTAATTTGATTTTATTTACTTTATCATTGTTATTTTTATCTATTACTTACATGTCAGAAATTTCTTTTTAGGTATACCCAACAGAATGTTGTTTTGGAAAGTTTTTGTCATTATTATAATAATTAAATTATTATAATTTATTTTGCATTGTATTTTGATTTAGTGAGTAATTACCATTTATCAAAAGGCTATGTTAAATATCCATTGATGTTGTCCTTGACCTTTTTCTTCATATTTTGCACCAGTGCTGTTGCAACAGCGTTTTCCTCATTTTTGCACCATTTTGATGCTGTACAGAAAATAAGGGTTCTTCTTTTCCTGGCCATTTTTATGTGTATGCTTTAAGTCTTGATTTATATATCATTAAGTATAGTATATTGATATGTGCAACTTCAGTTTCAGACAGCTAAGTAATATTCCCTTAAGATTACTTGCTGTTTTTCCATCTATTTATATGTGTAGCACAAAGTGAACTCTGACAATGTAATAGACTAGAAAGTACTTGTATTTGGTTGCTGTCTAAAATCAGCTTCTTCATTTGTGTGTAATCTTTCCTAGCCAATGATATATGTTTGGAACATAAAGCAGGTCTCTTGTTTTCTTAATACTAATTTAAACGTAACCTCAAAAATTCCAATAATCTATCCAAAGTGTTTCCCTAATCTAAATAATTGTCCAACTTAACCATGTTATTAGAATTCATCACTCATGACTAAATGTCATGTTATTAATTATTTATAATATATGTTTATGAAATATAGGTGTATAGGTTTTATAATCCAGCTACACTATGTATATTTTTGATGAGTAGTTGCAAGTCTTTAAGTCAGATAGCTAACTGCAATTCATGTTTATTTGACATTAACAGACTTATTAGAATGTCATCTACAAATAGTCACAGCATAATTAACTTTTAGAACAATTATGAAAAGCTTTTGACAACCATCGTCTGTGGCTGCCTCTTGTGCTTCCTGGTAAAATTTTAAGTGTCCATGGTTACATTTCAGGATCTGAGGGTGTGGACAGTAACAGCAGTCTGCAGGCTGTGGCAAGGGTCATTGCAGCCCTGGGAGATTCCAAGAAGAAAGGTGGCCACGTGCCATACAGAGACTCCAGAATAACAAGGCTTCTACAGGTAAATATTTCACTGTAAAAAGATTGCACCCATGAAGGTTAGATTTATAAATAGCTTTTTGATCTCAAAGTTTGAACATCCTTTGAAGGATACCCCCCACCATTAATGCTGTATAAAATTCCTTTGCATTTTAAATTCAAGAAGTTAAGAGTCTGTCCATCCTGGCAACAGAAAAACAGACCAGTAAATGCTTTTGATCACATTAACCTATTTCTAGTGCATGTACTCGAGATGATAAAGAAAGATAATATGGATGTTCAAACTGGAATAACATTATGTTTCAGGAAGCCTTTGGCGGGAATGCTTTCAGCCTTATGTTTGCCTGCATATCTCCAGCAGGTAAGTTGCTGTTGTCACATACCTATAATGATAATACTTATTTGCAACTAAAATGCACTAGCGTTATCTTAATCAAAACAAAGAGGTGGTAAATTCAACAAACTGAAAGCTTGATTTGGATTGGTTATATATGTAAGCAAAATGTGATTTCGTAACTGTGAAAATGTTAGTTACTGGAATTTTTTATCACATTTTATCTTTCATATCTCATGTTTCAGATCTGTTCTCACAGGAGACAATGGTGACTCTGCAGTATGCTACTCTTGCTAGGAATATTAAGAACGAGGCCAGAGTAAATTTGGTAAGCAATGTTTTGGTTAGTTTCCTACCATTCGTGGTATATATATATCCTACTTTCATACAATTTCATCTGCCTGATAAGATTCAAAGCAACTACTACCCTTTTTTGTATATAAAAATTAACATTAATATCAAATCATTTTTACTTTGTATTTCATGTCTTAGCCCTTATATTTAAAAGGAAGTAAAAGCTTTTTGAACAGTTTTTTATCTGAGTGCAGTTATGCATTTTGTTTTTTACATGTTATTCTTAATATATTTATCATATTACTGTTACTTTGTACTTCATCAAACTTTGCTCTAAAGGAAAATGGTTTCCGATTTTTTTAATTGGTTGAATAAATTAGCATCTAAACTTATCTTGGTCAGGATGAGACAACACACATCATTGCTGACCTCAGAGAAGAAATTGCACGTCTCAGAGACAAGCTGACAACAAACAGTAAGAAGGAGGATGTCATGAAGATGGAGGTATGACGATGAACAAAACACCTCCTTATGGTGTCCATGTTTCTTGTGTTAATTGTTTGAAAAATGTAGGTATGGTTTGATCAACCATGGTCTGTAACTTGTAAAACAATTTCTTATGTTTTATGTTGGAATCTATATTTTTTTTCCGAGCTAGACTGTAAGGTCTTTGGTATATCCTTATTATAATAATTTGTATTTTCTGCATTCAGGATTTAATCCATGATTTGCAAATTGCCAAGAGGCAGACATGGGAAGAGAAGCAAAGGTTGTCCATTCAGTATGAGGAGGAAAGAAAAACAAACTTGGCTAATAAGGTATACATGGAAAACATTTCTTGTAATTGTTATGCCAAATCAGCTACAAATGAAAGTGTGAATTGATTTCAATTGTATGGCAGTTTATGGCATAGATTTTCACACAGTTATACTGTGTTAAAATTCTGGGGCATAATTTTGAGCATCTGTACCAATAACCAATTTAGAATCTTGGAGAAATGAGACAGAAATAAATGAATGAATAAATAGCTTTTATCGCGGAAAGGGGCCATGTGACTTCTAAATTCTTATAATCATTTAAATTTTTTAAGTTGTTATTTTGTGTGTAATAACATTCTAGGGAATACTGGAGTGGGTGATGGACAGCATGCGAAAGGGAGACAAGGAGATGCAGGAAAAGCTTTTGCTTCTTCAAAAAGAAAAAGATCAGGTATATGACCTTACCTATTTATCAGTGTACTTTATAAATTATTGTCTTAAAAAATGTTTAAGTAGAATTGAGATGCAAATTTCTTTGACAGAGTATAATAAATATATTGGCCTGCTAGGTAGACTATTGATAAAGTTGTCTTTTTTAATCTGACACATGTATTATATATCTTTGGATTTATACCAAGTACATGTTAGTTATTGATATAGGTGAATTGGATCTAAGAGTATCAGTGTTTAAAGTGTATGTATGTTTTAATGTTGATCTTTCTGTTTTGCTTAAACACAGTTAATGCTTCAATACAAAGAAAAGAGAAAGGCTGTGGATGGAATGAAAGAAGACCTGCAGAAAAAGATTGCTGAATACTCCAAGATGGCTGACAGTGGTAAGGCTTGGAATGGGAGTTTCTGGGTTTTAAAGTGTCAAGTAATTTCATGTGCTAGGAAGTAATGTTGTGCAAAGGTGTGTTACAATGTTGATTTTCCCTTGTTAAGTAGCAACATTATTATTTTGTGTGGTTTGAGGTACCATTTTAATTTTAATTTTAAAAAATTTACAAGACACATTATGAACTCGCTCAAAATATCATTTTTAAAGCAAACATGTATCACTATGGAAGTTGATTTTCTAGAAGCAATTGAAAGTTCAAAACTGCTCTTTTCCTAAAAAGGTAAAGCTACAGATGCAAGCACCAAGGCTAAGGTGACAGCCATTCATGAATTGAAAGAGCTTTTGAAGAGTGAAAGTGAAAGGCTGAAGGAAATAAAACAACACTTGAAGGAGGTCACAGAGAAACAGAGGACAGAAAGAGAGGTAAAAAATATTGCATGTATTTGCAGAGAGGGAGACTGAAAAGTCTTAATAAAAGGAAAACCAAATGACCACCAAAAGAGTTAGAATGAGCCAGTGTTAATTGAAAGATTACTGATTCAAATATAACTGCTGATCTGTTAAATTTTAACTTGCTGTAACATATTTAGTTATTACTTTTATATCTGCCTTCAGGATGCCAGATCTCAGAACATGATGCTGAGGGGCAATGCTGAGCTGAGACAAGCTGTAGAGGTGGGTCACATACTTATGGATATTGTACATGGTATTGATGGAAATTATTCTGGTTAAAGTTTAACGTGAAAGTTTTTATGTGCCGTCTGAACACATATAAGGTTTAATAACTGATTTATGGACATTTTATTATCATTTATCATCAGTGTTTGTTCTTAGATATACTAAACAATCACTTTTTGTTAAGTTTTGCTATGATTTGTGTCTCTCTTGTAGATTGAGGAGCGAAAGAAGATCGAGATGGAGAATGCCATCATGGTGGAGGATGAGATGGAGAGAGTCGGGAGAGAGGTGGATTTTCTCAGAATGGAAATTCAGGTAAATATCATGCTCTTTTTAACAAAGCATATACACATTGTCTTTGAATAAGTCCTAAATTTCGCTATCATTTCTCCTGTATGTGCTTTAGAAATTCATGTAAATATTTGTTTCTTCTTATTTTTGAACTCTTCTATGGTGTCTGCTATTGGAAAAATTGACAGCAAGCCGCAGCAAACAACATAATTTGTGTTCTGTTTACTTCATCTCCTGACAAAATGGTACGTGACCAATAGAAATGTCTATCTCTGTTTTGGCAGGAAAACTGTGATATGATTCATGTTGTGTTAAGTATATCAATCTGTAATGTAATGTTTACAGAACAAGGTGGAGCAAGGCAAGCAGTACAGTTCAGAGGAAGGCAGCAAGCTGGAGATAGAGGTTGCAGAGCTGAAGGCTGAGAGACAAGTGATTGCACTTCAGGTAATATTTATTCATTATTTATTTTATTTTTTATTGTAATTTTATTTATTTATTTTGCTGGAAGAGGTATTATGACAGAGCTTATCTGGTGTAATGCTGATGTTTGTTAAATGATTCCTGAGTTCAGTATATCCACAGTTTAATCTTTTGACTGTGATTTTAAGTTAGTTTATCAAAACAGAAAGTCCTGCAGTTTTCTTGACTGTTTGACTGCATATTTTTTTTTTCAGCAACAAGTGCTTGAACAGGAGAAGGCTCGCCTTCAGAGGACCCTGGACGATGCATATAAGCATCACAAAGAGGAGACAGAAATACTGCAGCTGCAAAATTTCCAGGTGAGAATTTCATGAACAGAACCACTTAAATTCAAGATTTAGAGACAGTTACTGTACTTACTCAACTAGCATGAAAATATAGGTATCAGTAGATACCCAAAATTTGTTTGTCTTACCAATGTCAAATCTTCAGGCAAAAAATTTAATCAACTATCAATCATATCTGTGCCAAAAAAAAAGTTAATGTGATTTGATTCAAAGCAAAAATTATAAATCTAAGATGGTAGTTGATGACACGAATTATCACAGTATTACATCAGAGTTAAAACTCAGTCACGAAAAAATTGATATTCTGTCATGGGAAAATTTAATATTTTACTTTTCTTTCAGCCCTAACATTTTTTTATGATGCAGCCCTACAATGATGTCAGTGTACTAAGCTAAGTGTGAGATATGCCCTGTGTTGTCTGGTAATTAATCCTTGCATTTCCATATTTCCAGACATTCCGTAACTATCGTGAGGTGTTTGAACAGCAGAAGTCTGCCCTGGAGCAGAGATACAGAGGACTGCTTGAAGATGCAGTACAGGATGCAGTCTTCATGTCTTCCAGGAATGCGGAGATGGTGGAGGAAAACCAGTCCCTTAGACAAGGTGAGAGCTGGAATTTCTTATCTAGGGTTTTTTTTACAGTCTTGGGAAGATACGTGACCCTGCTAGGTAGATGATGATTTTCAAATTATTCCTATATTTTCAATGATCCAGTGAAGATTATTGCCAGATCAGTAAGCAGTCTAAAGTCAAATTTGCGGTAATTATTTCAGGACGTACTTTCTGATTTTATTCTAACCATTGATGAAATATGAAACAAAAGCAATATTTTGGTAGCACTAAACTTACACTACATCACACCAAATTAGGTTTCTGAATAGTAAAAACATCGTATCACTATTAAAATTAAAATTGGGACAAGGAAAAGGTATTAACAATGCCCTATCAATACATCAGACAAGATTAGAAGTATTACAGATGGTTTCTTTCTTTTCCAGAAATTGCAGAACTAAAAGACAGGTTGACGGTGCTGGAGGGACAGGCTGCAGCCAACTAACCCTGGAGACTTAGTTCTTATAAAACATAAACTTTGACATTCAATATGACATCATTTAACTTAAGAGGAATTACAAGTGTTGTTGCAATCCGTCTAAAAGGGAATATATCTATTTCAGCATATTTTACAAACTCAGTTAAATTTAAAATTTGACATAGTATGATACATGCTTATGATTATATATATTTCTTATTTAAATGTCAATTAATAACCGTCCATTATAGACATATTGTGATTTAAAGCAAAGTTGTATATATGTATATGGCAAGGCAGAGGAATTGAATTTGTAAAACCTGGAATCTTGAGAAACAGAGGTATGCAGGTTTTAGATGTCTCTTATAATGCAGTAAAATCCGTCCTTTTTAGACAGTTGTATCTCGTTTATTTTTCTGATGCAGTAATATACACTGCACATAAAAATGTTAATGTTCCATTATTACAATATATAAGTTACATGACTGTACAATCTCAGAGAGCTTTACATTTAGTCAAATATTCAAACTTACATAGTTTTTTTATGCAGATACATGCTTTACAGATATTCATCTTTTATGGTTAAACATATTATTTAATCTAGATGTATACTAGAAGTCATTGATTTTATTTTAGTTTAGACCCATTTTTACTGAATTTGCCATTTTGATTAAGTCTGATCTGACAAGTCATTTCTGATTAATGTTGTTATTCAATTTTATTAAAATTAATGGTAGATTAGGAATGATTATAATATCAATTAATCAAGATACATACTGCAGTGTTATAAATCTATGCTTCTTTAATTTCCATGGTTTTCATGCTGGTTCATGAAAGGCCAGATATCATTCTGATAACAATAAATTTTGTTCATAATATTGTTCATGGTTTTCTTTGAGATTTTAAGCATTTTAATTCGCTTATTTCAGACATGACTGTATATTAATTTAAATGTTTCTTAGCTACTTCAGTCTCGTTAATTTGAAATATCATGACTAACTTGAAATATATGAAGTAAATTGCAGACAAAATAATCATGGTTTACAAACATATGCCATAGTTTATTTCAAATCTTCAGCTGTGATGTTTCACAAGCTAGATTTTAGAAATATAAGTCAGTTTGCTTGTTTTTAAAAACTCTTGGTTGAGCTAGTCAAGCAAAAAATCTAAAAATAAGTCCTTATTTACAGCTTTTAAGCATATAATTTAGAAGGACAGAATGTACCTGCAAATTATATCTTCCCATTTTCTGTGCACATATTCTGAATTTTTTCACATTGTAATACTTGGGTTAAGAATCTGTCCCCACTCATTTAGAAAATTTCCAGGAATGTTAATGCTTGAACACCGTGTTACACTTTCATATTTCTTTTTCTAATAATTCTCATAGCAAGTTTTAGTATCTCTTTTTCCTTAAAATGTCTGGTTTCCAATTTATTGGGTGGGTTTCTTCAGTCTGAAAAAGAACAATGCTCAAGTAAATATCTATTCTCAAACAATTTGATCCTGCTTTGAAAAACTTATCCCAACTAATAAACAGATCAAAATAATTATTTTTACTTGACATTTAAATCATCTTTACACCTTATTACTTAATTGTTCTCTTAGCATTTTTCCCTTTAAAGGCTGTTAAAGGTAATACATACAGCAGTATCGTCTTCCTTATAAATCTTTATGGTTTTATCAGCCTCCGCAGAGATGAGTCTGGTTCCACTGTTATCAAACTGCAGGGCAAATATCCCCGCCTCAGAGTCTATAGAACCTGGCTGTGCCATGGCCTGCATACGCTGAAAGTTGTAGCCTGATCTCCAGTCCCAGAAATACATAGTACCATTGTCCCCTAAAACAGGCAGCAAACAGATCATAATAATAAAGAACTATAGGCCACTTTATAAGAAAAAAAATCTAGGAATATCAATGCTGTATTTGAATTCATTTCATTTATTGTATTTAATTTTTATTTTTATATCATGTGGTCAGACATACTTGTAACTTAAAAAGAAAAATATTTGGCTCATGCCATTTTTTATGCCATCATTTAATGAGACAGTAAGTTCTGTAATTCAAATCAGCATTACCAATTGCGTTTGACCGGATAAACAGAAGAGAAAGACTTCAGCACTCGCTCCCACAGTCACAAAAAACTTGCCAACATTTCTCACCAGAAATTTATCTATAACATGCTTTCAGGAAAGTCTATATGGCTCACCGAAAATAGAAATTCACCCCGAGTAAACTGCAAACAAGAAAACTCACCTCCAGAGACTAGTACATTATCTGAGTTAGCTGCCAGACTGTTGATGATAGCATTATGACCTGACATATTCTGGATAAAGTTGCCATCAGGAAACTTCCATTGCTTCAGGTTATCTGGTGATGCTGAAGCAAAGGTATACCTGAAGGTAGAGCAGCAAATTACAATACTTTACTTTGTTTATTGCATGGATAAAATACAGACAGCTTTGTTCCATTTTGTAGTTAATTTGACATCTTATTTGTTTAATGTAAATAAAGAATACACAAAAAATGTAATATGTAATGTAAAGTCATATTATTTTTCAATGTGTTTAAACAATGTGCAAATGACGTGCTGTTCAAGTGCTTTATGCCCAGTCTCCATAATAGGTGGCTTATTCCAGACCGTAGTCATCACATATTAAAAAAAGAACTCACTGTACTGGATGAAGTGCTAAAGCTCTGACACTCTTTTTATGGTTGGTTAACGTAGCTTTTGATTTCCCAGCAGCCAGATCCCATAACCTAATTGTGCTATCATGACTGCAGGATATCACCTGAAAGTAAGAATCGAAATTATTGTAACCACAGGAAAAAAAATCAAGTTTTACTAAAAATAAATAAATAAAAACAGATTTCTAAATGCCTTATAATAGTAAAAAAATAATCAAATCTGTTCTGTAAAGCCTTAATATCAATGACCAAGAACTAGGTGGACTGACCTGTGGTTCTGCGGACTGACACTTGACGTCTGCTACTGTGTTGGTGTGACCAGTCAGTGTGTATATACAGGCTTTTGTTCTCATGTCCCAAACCTGAAAATAGATGGCAGTGCAATCAAGTCCTAATTTTCATGGTGTCTCAAGATCAGTGTGAAAATGCTAATAATTTAAGGTGGAGTAAAGTTCTGCTGCTTCTCTGACAAGCAAAGAAAACAATTCACCTTTCTACATTTGAAACGTAATTCAATTTTATTTTCCTTTTAATATGACAACAAATCCTTTTAATGGGGAAAAATCCCAAATGCTGCTTCCCTTCCAAAGAGGGAATAGCATATTAACAAAATATTTATAAGGGAAGATGAAGTAACTGAATAAGAATAATTTTAAATTTTTAAAACATATTTTCACAATTGATAATATATTAATATCTCACTATTCATTTTCCCTTCCTCATGCAATCCATTTATCTGAAATCAAAATATCAAGTGTAAACCACATTTTTTCTCTCTTCCCTGCTAAAGATGACATTAGTTTTAAATTATTTTATTCTGTATACTTACCCTAACTGTGGCATCCCTCCCACAGGTACACAGTATATCAATGGTAGGATGGAGGTCAATAGCATGAACTGCACTCAAATGACCATGGTAATGGCGAATCACCTGCAACAAACACATATAAATTATACTGATTACAATGTGGTTTTATTTTCTTAAAAGATTTTTTATTCATTGCATTCTGAGGATTTTCTTCATCAATCTGAGATGTAAAACGTTATAAATCCATACAGTGCCTGATAACCTTAATATACTACACCCTGCATCAGTTTCAAGCACATCATTTATAGATAAATTATGTTTTAAATAACCTAAATACATTATCAGTGTAAAAACACCTGAATATTCTTTTAATGTCAAATTCGTTATTTCACACACCTTGTTGTATTCTAGATCCCAGCACTTGACTTGTTTGTCCTCTGCACAAGAAAACAAATATGGCTGTCGTGGACTGACCACTATCCCCCGGACAGTGCTGATGTGTCCAGTGAGGGACAGTTTGAGAGTTCCACTGGCCAGGTCCCAGATCTTGATCATTCTGTCAGCTGAACCTGTGGCAAACCACTCATTTCCCGGCTCCACAGCAATACTGCGTACCCAGCCATGATGACCGCTGATTACCTGGAAATAGCATAAAATATATGATTATTTGGAGATGCACATTTTGCAAACAGAGGATTTCCCTTCTTTTACATAGCTATATGATGTATTTTAGGCTATCAACTACCAGGTAATTGCTTACAAATGGAGGGATTCAACAAAATTTCTCACTTACGTGTTTTTTTGTACTTGACCTGAAAAGAAGGTTCATCTAGTATGCAGGAGTCATTTTAATGTCAATAACCTTTAAAAGTTGCACTTGAGGAAACATTAAGTTATACTCTAAAATTCCTTATTTCAGATACAATCTATTACAAAATATAAAAGCAGCAACAAAATAATATATTACTACATATAAATGGCATGCATAAGAATATTTACCCTATATAATTTCCATGGTGGATGCCATGTTGGCTTTGGCATTGTTGGAGCTTTTGTTGGTACCAACATTTTATCATTCTTTCCTTGTCCAGATACTGCCACCAATGCCTAAAATAATGCACATTCTCATAACACTTCTACATTGACTAATGTTGTTTAGGTAAAAAAGAAATGGAAAAGCAAATGTCTATGCTACTGTACTATCAATAGAATCATCACGTGACTTCTACTGGCAACATATACTTTTTATCCACTCCTTCACACTCACATTTCAACAATGAATGAGTTGACATTTTGTCATATAAAATTCTTGGAAGTGAAGAGGTCAAAATTGACAGGATTTTATTTAGAACATCACATTTTTCTACACTCTAAATTATATTATTTTAGCATCTTATGAAATTTCTGATGGTCACCTTGGACCCAGAATAAGGCATTGTATCACACTGAAGATAACTTACCTTGGAAGGAGGTGCATATCTCTCCTGCATCCCTGCATGCTGCTGTATCTCATGTACGCCTGCTGACACATTGTCTTCTTGACTGGATATGACATACAAACAACAAAACAAAGTTTAGTTTTCTTATTCACTTGAAGATTTTAATAGTATGACTCTGGTTAAGCCTTAATTCATTTCCTCTTGAAGTCTTCTGCTCTCAATTTTCGCTTACATATTCTAGTATACAAACCTTTTTTTTTTCATAGTTTTAGTTGTAATAAAACATATTTTTAAAATCAGACACAGGAGCAACAAAATTCTTTTCAGGTAAAAAACTGTACTTAAAAGTATCTTTGCCAGGCTTAATCGAAACGATAGAAAAAAAAACAACCTTACCCATACATGGAGGAAGGCAAAGCCTTCTGTGATGGGTGAGACTGCATAGCTGTGTTCTCAGTCAAATGGACACCTGAGAAACAAACAATAAATAAATCTTTTTCAGTATACTAATACTGTAACACTGGCAGTAGATACTATCAATGCTCACAGAACAATGGTCAATTTCAAACTGAATTACATTTATAAGATGCAGTATTTTCCAATATTTTTTAAACAAGGCACTAATACAGCATTGAGCCAAATAACAAAATCAATGAAAATATTACACAAAAACAACATTGTTACTTCAAATTTGATAAAAATGATATATGTAAATGTTAGCTGTGGCTATCTCCATTTTACCTGGTCCAGAAGGATAGTTATGAGTTCCCATAGCTTGTCCATGCTGGTAGTCAATAGATATTATAGCCTGGCTGTTATAGGGTCCCACTACATCATCATCTGCTCGACTCTTCTTCTCAGTTGCTAGGTGCTTTACATTACCATACTCATCATTCAGCTTGCATGCCATCCTTAACTTCTCACTTAAATGGACATAAACTATATAGTTATGACAATATCAAACTCATGACCTGTAACTATTTATGTCTAGTAAAAGCCCTTTGTTTTCTTAAGTTATCCTATGGTAAATACTAGTATGATGGAAACTGTACTAGTTTTCAGTATTGTATAAAACTTAAAGTGGAGTTTGTTTACTATGAACCACACTCAAAAGTAGCTCTGCAAAACTCTATGCAAACACCAACTTACTTATAGTTTTGTTATTGATGTGACTTTTGGCATTATATATTATTTTCCTGTTGTTGTGTACCGGTTTTAAAGTTGAGTACTAGTACCAGCATTGCAAGAAAAGCAAAATTAAATGAGCATCACTGTTTTCAAACTGCTTAAAAGAAGTTGAGAAGTTTCAGCAAGTGGTCCCACAAGATGGCATGGCTTCCAGTACTTACCCCTTATCATCTTGTAAAGGTATATGTGCATGATCTGACAAAAACATATCATGTGTCCTTTTCAATGAGCGAAAGACCAGTGTATGAACTGAATGCTTCTGTACCTCCTGAAAGTAAAAGGCTCTAGTTTAAAAGAGAAAGAATCAAACTAAGCTAGGCATTTAACATTATTAATCATTGCATCAACTTTTACAAAGAAGTCGAAGAATTTAAAATTGTGCTTTTTCTTTCTTTCAATTATACTTCGTATTAGTAGTAAAAACAAAACTGAATTATAACTATAATCATTAGTTCAACATTGTGACTGAAAGTGCGTTGTAGACTAAATGGTTATTTCTGAATGTCAGCTGGACTGACTGGACAATCTGATTAGTTTTGTCTCATCCTCTTTCTTTGAAAGTTACCAAGACCAGAGACAGAGAAGTTACTTTATAGGACATTATCTTGGCATCCATTCAGTTAAATGTTCAATATCACAGTAATCTATGGTTAATAAATACTTCACCTCCATATCTTTGGTTTTTAAGGATCCTTGATGTCCTCGTAAAAGTATCGGAAAAGCGGACTACTGACTATAATTCACTAAGTTTGCAAATAAACGTCTTCAATTCGTACCACCATCCACCATGCTTGTTTACAGTCTCGTGAACTCTCGTGACCCAATTAACAAACCTAGAAAAGGAAACAGACTTTTATTACAGTTTAAACATTTTATCGTGGCAACTTGAAGTCATATAACAATTTTACGATCTCCTTGTGAACTAAGCACCACAAATTAACAGAATACTTATTATTTCTACTTCATTTTGCCTACAACTTGCTTCAAAATGGAAACAGAGGGTGAAGCGCACCTGCAATCTGCGCAGCCGGAACCGGCTTCTCTTGTGTATACGGTCGTCTCTTTCAGTCTTCTTTTGTGCAACATTTCGTTGGAGCTTAAAGTCTTGTACATAAAATGGCACTCAGCAACAAACTCAGTATTGATGCTCTGGATTTGGGTGGAAAGCGTGTGTTGATAAGGTAGACTGACAAAATTCTGACCGCAGACAAATCTTGTATATATTTTGTTTTGATTGATGATACTTAATTGTAGTAAGGTCACCCTAACCTTAGTCGTTAGATGGTAAAATGAGAGACTTGTTCATTACTTTCAAAGACCAGTTTTGAGCCTCTATGTTATATGCAAAGATAGCGTTACTTTCTGATGAATTTCATATCTTGTCAGACTTGTCTTCATTGTAGCAAAAGCTGATTTTGAGCAAAATGAGGATTGACCTTGATAACGACCTTGTCTTATTCACCCCGTTTCATGAAAGTGACCGTGCCAATCTCACGTCTAAGGAACTGAATAATGTGTGCCTGCCTTATTACATTGTTGAAAAACATATGTTAGATTTAAGGGGCGATGTTTGAATGCCTTTAGAGAGATTAACAGAATGATTGAAAATGACATATACCACAGGCAGCTTGAGCTGAATTGATTAATTGATGGCATTTTATTAGATTATACACAGGTGACATTATTTTACATTAAATCATATAGATGTTAACAAATACGCCATACTATATAGTCTAACATCAAACTGTTGAAATCTTTACTGACATGTTTGTATAATATTTCTAAAAAAATACTCTATAGGTGTCATATTTTCTTCCTATAGGGTTGATTTCAATGTGCCACTAAAAGGTAAAGAAATCACCAATAACCAGAGAATTGTGGAAGCACTCCCCACTATCAAGTATGCCCTGGAGAAAGGAGCTAAGTCTGTGGTGCTTATGAGTCATCTTGGAAGGCCAGATGGAAACAGGAATGATAAATTCTCTTTAGCTCCTGTGGCTGAGGAACTGAAGAAGTTGCTTGGAAGGTACTGTTTAGCTGTGTGATATTATTCAAAAGTTGACATGTTAGGATTTATTTGTAATTAAATATCCATGTCTGACTAGGTGTATGGTGGAAAAACTCTGATTTGCCAGGTGTATTGGATCCATTATTTTCTATTGAAATTATTTGTTTAGACATGACAATCAGTTAAGCAAAGCAGCACAATTTATTTCCATCTGTATCCCAGCTAAAAGATATAAGGTTTTTTAAGATAGTATGGCTTGTTACAAAATAAAATTTCCTAGACTTGGTCACTTGTTTAGACAGAAGTGTCTGTCTTAACTACAGAGAGACTGAACCATCTGGCATTAGCAATTCATCATACCAGGGTATCAATGTAACACAAAATGTATGTACAAAAAATGTGTAAATGAGAATATAGTAATATTATGTTATTTTTTTATTTTCAATTGAAGAACACATTTGAAAAATCTTACTGTCTGATTTTTTTCTTGCATTCCACAAACTGTATATACTGTATTTTATGTTACTAATTTGATTTTAAGTTAAAACACATATTTGATAAATCTTGCTATCTGATTTTTTAACCTCTCTGTGTTCTCTAGAGATGTGACATTCCTCTCTGACTGTGTGGGGGCTGAGGTGGAAGCAGCCTGTGCATCTCCAGCCCAGGGCTCAGTCATTCTTCTGGAGAATCTCAGGTTCCATGTGGAAGAGGAGGGCAAAGGAGTTGATGCAGAGGGCAAGAAGGTAGAGATAATAGATTTTTAATTAGTGTAGAATATGTAGCTACAGTCTAATACTGATGTAAATATAAAAGACTAAAATTATGCATCTTTTAAGCCAAGAGAATATGAATATTTTCAGTTGGTAAAGAGTTTTGAAACAATCCAGCAGAACTCCAGATTATATCTTTTGTCAAACTAAATTGGTCTTTCCTTAAGAAGAAGCATACTTTCAAATAAATTAACCATTGTTTATCTCATTGCAGGTAAAAGCCAGTGCTGATGCTGTTGAACAGTTCCGAGCATCTCTGAGTAAGCTGGGAGATGTGTATGTGAACGATGCCTTTGGTACAGCTCACAGGGCACACAGGTAGGCTATCTAAGGAATGCAGTTTGTAGAATTACCCTGTGAGAGGAGATTGGGTGGATTCCAAATCCACTGTAGCAGATTTTACGTGAAACCAATAGGTTAGGGTTTTAATCAGTCAGTCAGATCAGTCAGTTGAAACATGTACACAAGGTGTGCACACGCACATGCACACTCACGCATAGAAACTCGCACAGAGAAATCATAATAACATTTTTTTCTGCCAAAAATTTTTCATGAAATCTTTGGCAAATGGACAAAAATTGTTTTATAACATGGTGATCACTGGAGATAGATTTTGTAGCTATATCATGTCTGTCTACACTGCTGGATGTCGTACTTAGAAACCATGTGAGGTGGGGTTGAATTCTAAGCATTAAGGGTGACACCTACTAGTATGTACAAGGAATGTCATTTCAGAAAGCAAAACAAAAGGACATGCAAGACATGGCATATTTTTAATGTTGGGCTATAGACTGTAGTTTGATAGAATTTGGGAGAAAACTGTAAAAAACATCCCTACTAGTACATAAATTCTGTTTCTTTTATTTATTGCCACACTGTACTCCCAAGTATGCCATCATTTCTGATTATGACCTAACTATCCTCCAAATCTCACATAATTTTGCGATGAGTTGAAAGGCTTTACATTATCTTAGATGGTCCCCATTATCTTTCTACGCCTTTCTTTCTTACATTAAAACCAAAAATTCATACATATGTCTGTAGCACAAAAATTTTATCTGACAGCTAGAACAGAGAGACAGACAAAGAAAGACATGGCACATATTTTAGCATTGATTTTTTGTCCTTTCAGTTCCATGGTTGGTGTCCAACATGGCCAACGTGCTGCTGGGTTCTTGCTGAAGAAAGAACTGACGTATTTTGCCAAGGCCATGGAGAGTCCAGAGAGACCATATCTGGCCATATTGGGAGGGTGAGTAGCAGTCAGTAGTGTGTGTGTGTGGTACCTCTACAAGTCTTTTCTATATGGGGTGTCAAGAAATCACTTTTATTTTATACACATTTGGAGGGTCTGAAGATCACTAGAGACCTTCCAAATGTGTCTAAAAAAGGATTTCTTGACACCCTATATAGAAAGGACTTGTAGAGGCACCATGCACACATTTAACTTAATTTTTTGCTACCATCCTGAAAAATTGTTTTTCAATTGATATCAAAGATTTAGACTGTATCTCTGTTTACTTTGTTTTACAGTTTCTGTTAACTTTTGCAGTGCCAAAGTGAAAGATAAGATCCAGCTGATTGACAACTTGTTGGACAAAGTGAATGAGATGATCATAGGTGGTGGCATGGCTTATACTTTTCTCAAGGTTCTCAGTGGAATGAAGGTGAGTAACTTTAATTATACAAAGCAGGGGCGGATCCAGAGATATTTTCTGACAGTCTTCCAAATTATTTTTGTTAATCCATCCTCCATTTTTGACTGTCATCCGACAGAAAATATTAGATACCCGTCAATGTAAGCTTTAAAATCAGACCCAGAAGACGGCCTAAATCCGCCCCTGCAAAGGAAATAAGTTGGTGGTGGTGGTGGTGGTGTGTGTGTGCGTGGGGGTTGGGTAGGGGGGGGGGGGTTAGCAGCAGGTGGCATTGGGTTGTTTTGTGTTTTATACTTTTCTCAAGGTGCTGAAGGGAATGAAGGTGAGAGGCTATAGCCTGGGACTATACTTTGATGAGGGGTTGGAAGATTGAGTGATTGAAGTCATAATTTGCCCCAGCATGTCCTTTATCCTAATTCCTCAGTTTAGGAGAAGAAACTATGATCCATATATATTGCATTGTGACTTTATACTTAATATCTGAAACGGGTGGGAATATGAATGAGATTATCATCGTAAAAATCATCATTAAGCACTTTTGTGAAGGGCAGGATTGCTGTAAATACATAGGTGCAATTAATGTTTAATATAAAAATCAGTGTTTCACATGGTAGAAGATTATAGTAATCAGTTTTTCTCAAAAATATTTGTCAAAACCAAGATATTAACTAAAACTAATATTTGTAAAATATCTTTTATTGTAGATCGGAAATTCTCTATATGATGAAGAGGGAGCTGGTATTGTGAGCAACCTGATGGCTAAGGCAGAGAAGAATGGTGTAAAAATGCACCTGCCATCAGATTTTGTTACTGCCGATAAATTTGCTGAAGATGCTCAGGTTGGATCAGCCACACTGTCAGAGGGGATACCTGACGGCTGGATGGTAGGTGTCACAACTAACACAATCAGTAACTTATCATAGTCACAACTAACACAATCAGAAACTTATTATTGTCACAACTAACACAATCAGTATGTTATCATAGTTACAACTAACACAATTGCACAGCTGTTCTTTTTATAAGTTCTTTTACTAGAGTACCAGATGGACTGTAGGTGAATGTAGGTGTCACAAGGTGTGCACTGTCTGTTTCTCAATCCTAGCAATGATAGCACAAAGAGACGCTGTTTAATGAAATAACAGATGGATGAATCTGGTAAGTGGCACCTCAGACACACTGATGAAGCCTCTGTTTCATCTAGCACAATGTATGCACCTCAAACACATGAAATCTCTGTCTTTTAACACAATGCATGCAACATCACAGAGGATTGCAAAGCTTATGGTAAGTTTTGTGTTCACTTGGAATTATTAACATGTATTGAAGTCTTTTTTATATATAAAGTTGTTTACCACATGTTGATAATTTTTCCTCTTTTTTACTTAGGGCCTTGACTGTGGTCCAAAGTCTTCTGAAGAATTTAGTGCTGCAGTTTCAAGAGCAAAAACCATTGTGTGGAATGGGTAAGGTCTATTATTAACATTTTGTGATTCATTTTTGAAACACCTCACAGGATTGTCTAAAGTGAGGTTATCATATAATGGATATTATTTACTAATTTGTTGTTACTTACACAAGAAAACAAAGTGTTTGATCGTGTAAAGTGAGTTGAAAAGGTTTGGGTGAGCATAATTTCTTTCAAAGATTCTTTAAAACTGTGATGATACATATATTTGCTAATGTATTTAATGTGATAACCATGCTCAGGATTTAAGAAATTTAATTGTTAGCTAGCAGAATTTTTGACTTCATAAAAGGTTGGTTCTGAAAAGAATTTTGTGTTTCTAAAATGAATTTTGCACAGTATATTTCAATGGTATAGTTTTGTAACAAAAACACTTTCATACTTGTAGCAACAATACAGTAGTGTGTAAAATGGGTCTTACTCTCTTTGTTTTATGTACTGTACGTGTACAACTTTTTCAGGCCTGTGGGTGTCTTTGAGTTTGAGAACTTTGCCAAAGGAACAAAGGCTGTGATGGACGCAGTGGTGAATGCAACAGAGAAAGGAGCTTCCACTATCATTGGTAAAGTCTCGATTTGATCTTTAAAATATTATAATGTTCTTATATTTTTTGGATCAAGGTCAACTAAACTTGACATTTTTGCATTTAGATAACCTGTGTCTATCCATGTCATCACAGTTCACCACATTTGTCCATAACTGCCAGTTTGTATCAAACAGGATGTTTTGTTTGGCAAAAAGGTTGAAAATTAGTATTTTCAACATATGTATTTTGTGACATATGCCCCATAAGTGCCAAATCATATTTCATAGCAAGCTTTGTTTCCTGGAAAGGCAGGTTGGGTTAAAAAAAATCACCATAATTAGTAAAAACTCATTCCCGTTATGTGCCTGTATACTTGCCAGCTTTGCTGTCTACATAGGCTCTGACATGCGTGATCTCTAAAACAAATGCAAACTTACAGGTGGAGGTGACACAGCCACTTGCTGTGCAAAATGGGGCACTGAGAAGAAAGTAAGTCATGTGAGTACAGGAGGAGGAGCAAGCTTGGAGCTCTTGGAAGGTGAGATACTTCATGTAGCATTACATGTGGCATTTTTATGTTTGAAGTGCATTGATCCCAACTCATAATTTTCAGCATGAAATGGTAGACCAAAATTTACTCGATAAAAAGCAGTCAATTTCTTGTTTCATTAGCCATGTCTGTTTTCATCAGTTATTTAACTAAACATAATCTTGACATTGAAATGCCCAAGGAAAGCAGCATTTGTCTTGTACTGGTATCCAACACTGGGTTCGTGAAGTTTTAACTATTTTAGCCAGTTTAAAAATGGCTGAATGTCAGTTCAATCCATGCAGTAGACAAAGTTTCTAAATGTTTCATTTAATTTCTAAAAGGCCAATTATCTATATTTCCAGGTAAAACTCTTCCTGGTGTTGCCGCTCTGTCTGACCTGGCATGACACAGAAAAGACTGAAGTAGAATACAATTCTACCAAGTTTTCTGCATTGTTTTTATCCTCTCAGAGAATAACAAGACTCTAACTTGAAGTAAACCATTTTTTTTTTCTTGAGAAGTTGTTTTTTAATTTTAAAAAATGAGTAATGCAAATCCAACACAAATAATATCTAAGCATGATACCAAACAGTGCTTCCTAGATTTTGTTTTCAGTGTGTATAGACACTGATGTATTTTTTCTGCCCTAAGCACTCCTTTTCAAGTTTTCTGTATTGAAACACCTTGTTGGAGTCGGAAGGGAAACCATAAAAACAAGGTGAAACTAGGCATGCTTGAAATAATGTTATTGATCAAAGGATTGATGGAAGCCAAAGTTTGGTAGAGCTGATATGGTAGCTAGCCAATATTGCGTCACAAAATGGGCAGCTTTTCTCAACAGTCCCTTGTCTTTTCATATTGTGCACATTGTGAAGGTTAAAGCATGAGAGTTTGACATCTTTCAACAAAGAGTTAAGTCAGCACTCAAAGTTATTTGTGCCATAACTTCATGCATATCTTTTAGATTCTAGCGCCACTAACTACAGAATTGAAGGTTAATACCAGTTGGTATTTAGACTGATTATTTGAACTAACCCAGTTGTCTTGGATAAACCCATCATCAAAAAATACCATGCATTTGAAAGAAGCCGATAACTCAGTTTTAGTCTTTCTTTCTGTATATTCTTTCTTTCAAAAAGAACTTTCTGTCGTGCTTGTATATTAGTATGCAAAGAACTGCCATTATCAGTTATCTCTGGAATAAAATATTTTAACAGTTAGATGTTTGTAAAAACTTTTATTTTGAATGCTTTTGTAATTTGAAAAAAATGTCCTAAACATTCTGTGAGAATATTATTGTAGTTTCCCGTTAGATGGTTTTTGAAAGATGGAATTTAATAACTAAGGGTCAAGGTTTGCATTTCCTTTATTTTGTCAGAATCTGTCATGGTGTGTCATGTATAATTCACTGGGTTATACAGAATTAACAAGGTGCTTTTTATGTTTCCGCTTTTTTATTTAGGTTTCTTTGTTTAACAAAGGTAGATTTTACTGAAATGTGTATTTTTGATGTGTGTATTCATAGGATACATGTATTACTTAATCTGTGTAGCCTTTATTCTGAAATCCACCTCATTGATGTGTTTTATGTATCACACTGGTATTTCTCCAGGCATAAAAGATTGATTGATCGATTCTCCTTTTTTCATATTTGTCACTGAAGAAAATAGACTATGATCGTTTTTTCTAGAGCTGCAAGGTTTTCTTATATGGCACCAAAGCCAAAGCATAATGTCACATTCAAAAATTCAAACTTACTTAAGATGCAGACTTTGATTTTTTACATACATGTAGGTAAAATTTACTAGGTAAATATTTGTATACCTAGACTTTATCTATTGTGTGTTATTTGCATTAAAAGGCCAAAATTGTTAATAAACATTTCATGTATCACCTATGCATTGACTAACTTGCATCTTTTACACTGTTCTTTAGTGATATCTTTGTTATCGAGCAGTGATAAGATAATGACATTCACAAAGAATATATTTGAACTGTGCAACTTAGTCAAGCATTTCCTAGACATTGACTTTTCCAAATTTCTTATTATTGCATTCCACAGATGATGGTAAAGCTAATCCTCACCACCGGCCATTTGGTTTTCCTGGAGGTTCTGTTCATTCCTATGGTACTGTGCATGGGTAATTTTTAATCATGCAGTGCAGATGTGGGGTTGGTGACAAAATACAAAAAAATAATTATTCTTTTTAAGCGATAAATTGCTGTCTTAAATGGAGACAAAGATTAAAGATACATGTAGTTGATAGCTCATGTGGATCTTTTAAGGACAAAAAGCGGGAGTAAACATGGTCAAATCAGTTCATATGCTGAGCGTTTCGAAGCCATGGCAATATGGGAAATTATAAATTTTGCTCTCACAGGGTCTCGTAGTTCCATTTGACTACACCTTCCCTCCAAATCTCGGAGGAGTGCTAGAAGTCTTTCTGTCTCAAACGCGCGCGCGCACACATATCTTATCTGCATATTTGAAAAAAAAACACTTAACACCCTACTGTTGCCAAGCCCTATAACAGCCAAAATACTATAGTCATTGTAAGAAACATGATAAATTAACAATCATGATTTGTATAAGACTCTCGGATATGAAGAATTACATTAGAAAGAATAACATAGGCGCAGATCTTTTTCTGGGTTGCTATTTATTGCTCGGGTGCGCACACTCGTTCGTTCACAGCTTATGCGGTCTGATTCATGTAACAGCGAAAGTTTATCGTTCGTTTAAAGCCCATGCTAGATTATTTAATAATTATTTGTCGTGGTGTCTGATCAAGAGTATGTAATTCGACATAATTATGTATGAATGTGTAACTCGACGTAATTATGTGCTCGTATCTGACTCAAAATTACAAAAAATTATTTCAATCGTTCACAGTCGTATTTTAAAGAAAAAGTTAATCGTTTGTTTGCAGCTTATGCAGGGTGTTTACTTGCCATTTGATGTCATTATTTGTCATTGTATTTTAACGACAAGTGATCGGTCGTTGGTTGATGATGAATCATCCTGGATGTAAAATACTATAAAAACATTTCATGTATCATATTTTTGCTCATTTTACTACAAAATAACTTTGCCTTCAATAGGTCGCGTGTACGTTACAGAAAAAAAGAGGAAACAAAATAACAGGTGAGGTGATATATATGTTCAAGACAATATTTACGTTTACTTTATGAGGTCCATATAAAACCCTCTCGTCAGTTATTTTGTAACCTCTTGTTCTGAAAAAGTACATGACAACAAAAAAGTCATGTCTTTTCACATAGACGACAGTGCCGTCAGTTTAGTTTCTGTGCCCTATATTTAAAACAACAGGTGTTTGCAAGGAAACAAAATAGGTATATCTTTTCGTCTCAAATTGTTAAGTTTAAAGACAAATTATCAGTTTTTCCCCAATTTTCAAGAAACAACCACGAGAAGTACAATGCACTTTGGCGAAGTCACGCTGTGGCAACTGCTTGCTGCGATTGGTAAGTGTCATTCTTTTATTTCCGTTTCTCTGTAAAAAAAAAAAACTTAATATTTCTGCATTGTGCATGAGAATATTTGACAATATCTAAAGGAAAGATGACAGGAAACACACCATTAGAACTTATTGATTGTTATTATTTGAACGATAATCAACTTCACAGATTTTATTCATTCAAGCCATCGGTGAGTCGTAGGTTTTTCAAAGCTGCTTTCAATATAATTATTTTAATGCATGTATTGATATACATTTCAATAAAATTAAACCCAAACCGGATTTAATTACATCTTATGAATACAAGTACTGTACAAAGTCTTTGCCTCCCGATTCACTGCAGAAAAGGACATAATGATGAAGTGAAGTTTTTGATTTTGAAATGTCTGATTAATGCAAAGTGTCCAAATATTAAAACGAAGATCGTACTTGAAATAGTCCGTTAAGAAAATGTATTTTTCAGCTTTATATGTGTATCAACCAAATATGGTGTACACCTTTGTCTTTCCATGGAAAGGTTACAACTTTATTGTAAATCTGTTTGTTAACATGCATCTTTATTCATTATTTCATAGCTTTATCAAAATGTTTTCCTGTAGTAATTCTATTACAAAACAGTGTCAATGTCTTGATCTTCTCTTTCAGTTTTTTGCTTGTCGCCAGCTGATGCAATCAGGGAGATAGATGCCACAGCGTACACTATCAGTACAACCAGCACCGACCCCACTAAGCTGATCCAAGGGCTAAAACAAGACGACAATTTTCGTCCAGTGACAGGATTCAGACGCGTCGATGGCGTTCGGAAGGTTCGCTTCGAACAGACGTATAAAGATATCCCGGTTTACGGCTCGGTAGTTGTCATGGAGAAGAATTGGAACGGGGAATTTTACGATGTTTCTGACGGGGAGCTATTCGAGGATATCCTAATGGACTTGGACGACACTGACCCGATGATAACTATAGAAGAAGCGATCGATGTCGCCATAGCTGCAACCAGTGATCCAGATTCTGCGTTCAAATCTGAAGCCATTGCCGACCTCCTAGTCTCTGATGAAGGCGGATATGCCCATCTGATTTATCGCGTAAAATTTCTGGCGAAAAAGGGTAGCGGCTACTCTAGCCCGGTTGTAATCGTTGACGCTGATACCGGCGAAGTTTTGAGAAGTTTTGAATCCCTGATGACCGAATCTATTCAAATTGGCGGAGTTGGGGGCAATCTCAAGTTCGGAAAGTATGTCTTTGGTAACCCTGCGGGGGATTGTTCCACTGGAGGCGACAGCAGCACCCCACAGCCCACCGCTGGGCCAACTACAGCTTCTCCCGAGCCCTCATACTACTACTACTACGACGACGACGACTGGTATTGGACTGACAGTGAAGAGAGCAATTCAATTGGCACAGACGACAAGATGTCAATCAGACGACGTCGACAAGCTGAGTCTTGCAGTGCTAACCAATTCCCAAAACTGACCGTCGACAAACTGGCTAACGGCAAGTGCGCGCTAGAGTCAAAAAACACCCAGATATATCACGTCCAGGGAAAGTCTGCTGAGCAAGATCCCGGACTAGGCGAACTCCTGAAAGAGGTCTATTCAGTTGACTGTGTCAATAATTTCAACAATGTCAACGATTTTGCAAACGGTGGTTACAGCCCTGCGAATGATGCGTTTTTCTATAGCGAAAAGACATTTGAGATGTTTCAGAAATTGTTGAAGAAACCAGCCGTGAAAGTGGAACCTCCAGGTCCCCTGAAAATTGCCGTTCATTTTGGTACGAACCATGAGAATGCCTTCTACTACAAAGATCGCTGTTTCTTCGGTAATGGTGCCACCACCTTCTACCCTCTCGTTGATGTGAATGTAGTTGCTCACGAGCTCGCCCATGGTTTTACCGAGGACCACTCTAACCTTGAATATACAGGAATGTCAGGGGGTATGAACGAAGCATTTTCGGACATGGCCGGGGAAGCCTTAGAATATTACCTGTTCGGAAAAGTCGACTGGATCGTTGGAAGGGCTTCCGTGAAAGCATCAGGTAAAGGACTTCGGTACTTCGACGATCCTACAAAAGATGGGCAATCCATAGGCCACGCCCGAGATTTCAGATCTGATATGGATGTTCATTTAAGTAGTGGGGTGTACAACAAAGCTTTCTACACTCTAGCCAATACCAATGGTTGGAACGTGGAAAAGGCTTTCAGGGTCTTTGGTACTGCCAACGTTGTTTATTGGGGAGCCAAAGCTACCTTTAACACCGGCGCCTGTGGGGTTCGCAAGGCAGCTGCCGATCTGAAACTACCCACTCAAGATGTTATTAATGCTTTCAGCAGCGTTGGTGTCACCTGCACCTCAGCTAAGTAATAAGGATTGCCTACCATGAAAGAAGATCAACCATAATAGCTTTATGCAATTTATTATAATTCTGCTTATTCTGCCTTTATCCTTTTTTCTGAGTTTGGCAAGAACTTTTCGTAAAAAATAAAAGCTGTTTTACTTTGTTACATTTAAATCATAACGTACTGACGGACGAATTAAAGAGCGCTATACCCCTGCCTGAGAACGTCAAACTAACCCATTTTGTTTGTTTCCCGCGGACGACCTGTTTTGAGGGCCTATATGTTTAATCTTACAATTTTCGATAAAAACGCTTTCTTTTCTTCGTCCGTATCTATTCAATTTCAATATACATGTATCAGTGGAGTGCTCGACTTGTAATCACGCACATTCGGTAGTTATTTTATCCTGATAGTAATTTATACTTATTCCATTATTGTATCAATACATCGTCACGGTTTAAATAGAAAAAATGGCATCGCAACTAAAATAATCGAAAATATATTCGTTATGTGTATATTGAAATCCTCTGAGTATCAGGTCCAATTCTTATTAAGCTTTTTAAAAAGGCATACACGTAACTTTGTATAGCTAATTTTTATTTTCCTTGAAATTTCCACAACTTCCCTTCAATCTCTCAGACACACCATACCGATATTCGATGACAAAATCACAATCTGTATAAATCCATTTTTAATTCCAAGTTTCTAAGTTTTTAGACTCTCTTGTAATGGAGCTGGCGAGAAAAAAAACAAAATTAATAAGTTGGTTAATGACCGGCCATAATTTCGAGAAAATCAATATTTCGCACTGTTTTCGAACAACCGAAAATGTAGAATTTTCTTGAAAGATTAATTGATTTTCTGTATAAAGGTAGGCCTTTCAGTATCTTTCATTCAGGTTTCTCCGTTTCAAACAGTTAGGCCTTACTCATAAGGATGCTGGGGTACCACGTGACTTTTAGAAAAATAACTGAACGAATTCATGCACCAAAACTAGAAAAGCACTCCGACAGCGCAGACCTCCGCCTAATCAGCGATTTTTTATTATTATTGATTATTAATTGATTATTGATCCGGATCACCACCAAAAACTAATCATCTCTTCTTTGGCCCACTTCTGACAGTTCCTGAAAATTTCATCAAAATCGGTCCATAACTTTTTGAAGACAGACAGACAGACAGACAGACAAACAAACAGACAAACAGGCGGAGGTAATAATCTAAACCCAATAGTAATGTGAAGTGAAATTTTTATGGGGCAATCTGAAAATTCTTACTAATTTTGATGCGCCGCGCTCAGTGAAATCGAGTTGGATATGTCTTTGCATGTACATCTATGTCACTGTTGGCCTGTGTTTGTCACTATAGTTCATATGTTTATTTAGTTAAGCGTCATGTATAAAAAAATCTTCAAGACAAAAATTTTTGAGACTAAATTTTGGAGCAAAACGATGAATCCCTAACTAAAACCTTAAGAATTTTCACGTCTTTTTTTTTCAAACGTTATTATATCCAAGAATCCCCAAACTCCTTACCCATATTCAAAAATTGAAGTAACACAGCTGTTAAATAATTTTGATATGTGTGGAGTCCTATCTAACCATTTTTTGTTTGTTTGTTTGTTTGTTTGTGCTATGATTTAACCAAGTGCCCCTGTAGCAGATTCTGATAAATATATATAATGTACAAAGTTTGTTTTCCTGGAACTTTTTAACATTTTCCACCACTGGCCCAACACCTCCAGGCTGCTGTTCAGCTTGTTACCTTCTTTAGCCTTCTTTAGCTCATTTAGTTCAATGATCAAATCATTCGCATATACATGTAGATTGCAAATAGTATCGCGGTCATCACCAGGCAAGGAGATAATCTTGTAGCTGTGTTGGCATAGAGTGGACATATCCCCTCTATAGACATCAGAGGTTCAACAAGATCCAAGGTTTTCTGAAGTTGTCCAGATCGTTTGCAAGTATACAAATAAAGCTCAGACATATTGGATTGTCTATCAAAATGAAGAATAACGGATGTATAACACGTTATTTTGGACTTATTCAAACTTTACTTTTTTACTATCCTTTTATTAATCTATTTTGACAATTCAAACCATTCTAGGTGGTCATTATTAGTTTCAATTGAATAACCACGTAAAACTGCCATCCTTTGAAATGCACCCAAAGCACTTTCAATAGATTTTGAATAGGACTGTGTGTGTCAAGATATTACTTTTATGTCTCTTTGTGTGTGTATATTATACCGACTAAAAACTAAAACAAAATCTAAAATATTAGCTATCTGAAATGATAGCAGCTTGGACAAAACATCCATCTTTCAATATTTTTATTTTCCTTTAAAAATCGCTTTCAAAACCGAAAATTGACAATCTTAGTAAACAACTTCAGCACTAGAAAACCCCAAAAAAAAAAAATCGTCTGCTGTATCATTGCCCAGTGGATGTTCACTTTTACTTAGCTGAGGTGCAAGTGACACCAACGCTGCTGAAGGCATTAATAACATCTTGAGTGGGTAGTTTCAGATCAGCAGCTGCCTTGCGGACCCCACAGGCGCCAGTATTAAAGGTAGCTTTGGCTCCCCAATAAACAACGTTGGCAGTACCAAAGACCCTGAAAGCCTTTTCCACGTTCCAACCATTGGTGTTGGCTAGGTTGTAGAAAGCTTTGTTGTACACCCCACTACTGAGATGAACGCTCATGCCAGTTCTGAAATCTCGGGCGTGGCCTATGGATTGCCCATCTTTTGTAGGATCGTCGAAGTACCGAAGTCCTTTACCTGCTTCTTTCATGGAAGCTCCTCCAACGATCCAGTCGACCTTTCCGAACAGGTAATATTCTAAGGCTTCCCCGGCCATGTCCGAAAATGCTTCGTTCATACCCCCTGACATGTCTACGTATTCAAGATTAGAATGGTCCTCTGTAAAACCATGGGCGAGCTCGTGAGCAACTACATTCACATCAACAAGAGGGTGGAAGGTGTCGGCACCATTACCGAAGAAACAGCGATCTCTGTAGTAGAAGGCATTCTCGAGGTTCGTACCAAAATGAACGGCAATTTTCAAAGGACCTGGAGGTTCCACTTTCACGGCCGGTTTCTTCAACCATTTCTGAAACATCTCAAATGTCTTTTCGCTATAGAAAAACGCGTCATTCGCAGGACTGTAACCGCCATTTGCAAAATCGTTGACATTGTTGAAATTATTGGCGCAGTCAACTGAATAGACCTCTTTTAGGAGTTCGCCTAAGCCAGGATCTTGCTCAGCAGACTTTCCTTGGACGTGATATATCTGGGTGTTTTTTGACTTTAGAGCGCATTTGCCGTTAGTCAGTTTGTCGACGATTAATTTAGGGAATTGGTTAGGATTGCAAGATTCGGCTTGGCGTCGGGTAATATTAGATGTAGCATTAGCCGTAGCATTAGATGTAGCATTCCAGTCATAGTCATACCAATCCCAGTCGGTGGAGTTGGTGGTGACCTCGGGGGCAGTGGTAGTTGGCCCGGCAGTGGTCGGGGTGCCACCACCGCCGCCACCACCTCCAGTAGAACAATCTCCGGCGCTGTTGCCGAAGATATATTTACCGAACTTGACATTGCCACCAACTCCACCAATTTGAATAGATTCGGTCATCAGGGACTCAAAATTTCGTAAAACTTCACCGCTAAGGGCATCAATGATTACAACCGGGCTGGAGTAGCCGCTTTCCTTTTTCGCCAGAAATTTTACGCGATAAATCAGATGGGCATATCCACCTTCATCAGAGACTAGGAGGTCGGCAATGGCTTCAGATTTGAACGCAGATTCTGGATCACTGACGGCGGCTATGGCGATATCGATAGCCTCCGCTATAGTTATCATCGGGTCAGTCTCGTTCAAGTCCATTAGGATATCCTCGAATAGCTCCCCGTCAGAAACATCGTAAAATTCCCCGTTCGAATTCTTTTCCATGACAACTACCGACCCGTAAACCGGGATGTCTTTATACGTCTGTTCGAAGCGAACCTTCTGAACACCATCGAAGCGCCTGAAACCTGTGATTGGACGAAAATTGTCACCTTGTTTGAGACCCTGAATGAGGTTGGTGGGGTCAGAGCTGGTTGTATCGATAGCGTACGCTGTGGCGTCTATCTCTTTGACAGCATCAGCTGGTGACAAAGAAATTACTGAAAAAAAAAAACGTTAAGGCACTCACTGTTAATGGACTACAATTAGCAATGGGATATAGGTGTGTTGATGCAGTGTATATTCTTCAGCGATCCAGCTTCACGCTACGGGTGATCAATGATCTAAAGTTCTGTCTCACTAATATTTGATTCCTACTGATAAAAAAACTGCGTAAGTCTAGTTTTTTGTCTTTTTTGGTTATATAAACCTATTTTGAACGATTGAAATATAAAGTGAAAATTTTGACAAAAATAAGCACGATGAAAATATATACTGATACAGCATTTATTATCAGTATTTTATTTTTAACAATATGATATTCAAACGTTAAGATATTAAAAAATGATAATAAACCGAAGCACTCTTTTACCTGCTGCTGCCAGCACATACCACACCCTGAATTGGCTTAAGTGCATGTCGCGCCTCTTCTCTCCTCTTTTGAATACCTTGAATTCAAATTATAACTGATTATAACTGATTCCCTGTAGAATTATTGGTGATATATCCTTTCTGTTACTCGACATATGTATGTACGATTTTCTTAAGGACTGTCAAAGAGGAATAGATTTGTATTTTGCATAAATAAATTAATGGAGTCAACGAATCTATGTGTGCGTTTAACCAATTGAATCTTAATCATTTCTTCCACGATAATTCAACATAGGCCACCTCACCTGTTTAGTACGTCTTTTGGTTAGCAGATTGGCAAAAACCGCTCCAAGATGCACCGATCGTATCGATTCTTATACGTATGCAAAACCCAAATCACATGATCCACCCGTATGGCATAAATGACGTGGAGATGATCTTTCATTAAAAATCCATTTCAATTCACTGTCATTATTCCCAGATGGTTGTGATGACAATGATTAAATATCCACGAACAAAATATCCAAATTGATTTAAAATTGCTTTTGGGGTACGATGTCATGAATAAACAAAAAAAAATTGACGATGACGTTGGTCAATTTTCGAAAAACACGAGCAAATTTCGTTTTCATAGAGTTATCCCCCACGATGCTTTCCCCATTTTGCAAGAAATTTGCCTCTAAAGGGTCCACTGCCCTAAATTCCCCACATTGACAAAGATTGATTCAGGACAATCTATAGATCAAGTTGCTCTAAAATTTATAGTACAAGCCCACAGCGTTTGGGGTGCAGTACGGGAGGGATAGCTGATACCCCCCATCCCCCCCCCCCCCCCCCCCCCAATTCCCATCCTGCTACATCCTTGTATAGGCTATAATGTAATGATGGGCAGTTTAAAGTTAGAAAGGACATGGCTTGTATTGATTAGTGTCATTTTGTAGATATCCTGCAGGTATGTCATCCTGAAGCTTGCTCAATGAGCAATGCAGGTTGACAAATCGCACATGATCATTATCAGTAAAGTTGAAGGTGCGCTTTAATTGGAAACACGTGTTCTCCATTGGCAGGTTATGTCGTCAATTGCACCGTTCGAAACAATTATGTTGGATTATCTGCTTTCATTTTAGGGTAAACGCAAATAAATCAGGGCCCAGTTAAATAAAGGCTGTTTAGTATAAACCCACGTTTAAATCCAACGTGTAACTAAACGAATTTTAACCGTGTTTCATAAACCATGTTTAGCACTAACAAACGGTTAAACTCCAAAACGGTCGGTTAAATTAATACTTTCAAAAGAGGTAGTTAAAATTTCGTAAGCGTTGGATAAATATGACAAAAATCCTGAGGTTTGTCTGAAATACTCAAAGTTTCATGTCTGCAAGATTAAGAACGAGTTAAAAAAAAAAAGAAATGCAATTCTAATACAGCAACTGATTAGAAATTTCGTATTTAGAAAATATTTTAAGGGATAACAACTGTTCATATGATGTCCAACATTGTAAACAACTCAAAGAAATATATGAATTCCATTTTACCACCAAAATAGCAATTATTCTGGAACTTGTGCTTGCCACCACATCACCTGACTACCATAGATGGCTACACTCTGTAATAATTTTTTAAGAGAATATTACAAAAAAAAAAAAAAACTCTTTAGAAAAAAAACGGGGGCTAAATCTGAATGTCGGAATGGATTCATTTACCACTATAGTAGTCCTTTACCCCAGGAAAATTAATTTTTGACAAAATGAACAGTTTATGATCTTGCTCCAGAAAATGATAAAAATAACTTTTTTTTTCTTCAGATTTTTCGCCACAGAGGCAGTTCTCTTGGTTATCATGACAAGTAATAAAGCAGCAATTGAGTGTTCTTGGTATCTTTTTTTTACCGCCAATTTCAGAGATTGTGTGCAGACAGTAAAGCAAAGTAGTATGAAAGATATATTAGGGATGAGGGATCTTTTATTTTGTTCATAGCAACATCATGCATTCTAGGAAATTTCTATTCCAAATATGATCTGAATAATGCTTAAACTGTTCCAACACTATTAAGCTTACCGGCTGTAAAATTGTCCTTTATAAAGCTCAATTTTTAACGTCGTTTAGTTAACCGGCCTTTAGATAATTTATCGACTGGTTAGGCTGACACACTGGTCAGTGCTAAACACCTTTTTTAAAGCTAGGCCCAGATGTTTTGTGAAAATTGCTCCCCGGCATGGGATTTAGTAACTGCAAAAAATAAATCCATAGTGAATGGCTCTTTTAATTTCTTTCCGAGAGGTATGACTCGCAGTTATTGTTTCTATGTGCAACACACACACTTTGTTAACCACGTTAATTTGAGATTAATCCCCCAATAAAATGCGCTGTGAAGAATACATTCAACTTGCCTCAATAACGTGCGATTCGTTTGATGGGGTAGGGCATTCAACTTTGACACTGGACAATCTTACATACAACTACAATTTAGTGCGTCATTAAAAAGGTTAATTTGATGTCCAATTTGTGACTCTAATAATGCACCTGCATACACGTGCAAACGTGTAGTGACGAACTTGTCACTTGTGTAAGAATCGGTAAGTTAAAACTGCCAGGCAACACCTGCAAATGGTTTCAAGTCAATTTATTATTTGGGTGGTGTTCAAAAAACTTGTGCATTTTGTTGTTAGTTAGGGAGACCTACTACATGTACCTCTTGACTGAAATTTTGTCAGTTGATACATTTGAGGTAAGAAATTACTCAACAAATATTTTGCCCATCCGAAAAACGGAATCTTTTATTGGCTTTATCATAATGCTTATACATATATATTTTATACACGCATATCATTTAGCAGGCTATTCTGTATCAAATACTTTGGTATTTTTTGTTGCACACATACAAACAGACTGACAGACACGCAGATATGCACAGGCACATACGCATACATTAACACTGTATAACATGTTCCTAATTGCGTTGGTGATCTCAGATCCACAGAAGACCAAATTTACTTTATGTGTCCCAATTGTGAGAAAGTTAGATGTAAGCTATACCAAAGTGTAGGTACACTGTATGATGTTTTGCGACAAAGTGATATTCATAAATCATATGACGTGTGAAAGGGATCCCACTATTATTGCACTGGAAACGTTTTTACAAAAAGCCTCTCAACTGTAAAAAGTCAATGTACATGCTGGTGTAAAATTATAAGATGCAGTAGATAATCTAACCCGTGGCCAATAAAAGAAAATAATAAATCAAAATGGAGTGTATGGTCCTAAAAGAATTAATTTTCTTGGTATCCCCATGTTACAAGCCACCGTACTCATGACCACAATAAATGTGACGACATGACGATTAGCCACTCGTAGGAACCCAGCTGTATAGGGGTCTCTATTTAAGCCACTGCCATTATTTCTTGCTTAATTCTATTGTAATAATTTGTCACACCTACGCATTATAAAGCCATAAAAACGATTCTATACTCTAAAGTTGGCTCAGATTCAAAGGAATCGCACATTGAGCGATTGCACGGTGCATCGGTAAGTTAATAATTTTCCTACATATTCATCCGTTGAATTTGTCAACTACATGTATATCCTATTACTAACACGCCGTCTAATACAACTTGAGTACACGTTTCTGTGACGTGTACTTTTATGAAAAGAATCGTAACACATAAGTTGCTTATGAAACAGAATAAAAAACTGGTTATGTGATTGATAAGCAAAACAGGCTTTAAACTTACCATGTGTAAAACGCTGAAACTGCGAAAAGTCGAAATTCTGGGTCAAGGGGAAATTTTGATTGGGCAAGTGTGATCAAGTTTGGTTTTCTAGGGGAGATATACAATTCTTATCCACCTGTAGTACTTACAAATCTTACGCAAATGTTTTTTCTCTTTGAGAAGATGCTTCAATTTTATCATTTCAGTATTTTTATAAGGTAAAGAAGTCACAAACATGCGTCTTATAGCGGAGGCAACTTTACTGCTGCTGGGTAGGTGATACGTATTTTACATGCTTAAAAACAGTTGCCTTCAGGTGCATATTATATTCAATATCTTTCTAACCCTAAGGTAGCACTTTCGCATAAGATACGGAATATAAGGTTACAACCAACCACAGTAACAAAGCACGATGTTGCGTTTGACGTATAAGAACATTTATGGAAACTGTTTTAATATTGGATTCAAACATATTTATTTCCGTCAGTTTCGAATCGTATCTTACCAGATCATACGGGGTGTACGTCAGTATTGATAGTAAAATTCTTTCGTCTAAGCAAACACTATCACTGAGTCAGTTATTTCTTTTTCCCCTTTTGGTCCACTGAAGCAATGTACTCTTGTGAGGCAGCAAGGGAACTCAACGCAGAGGAGGTGGCAACAACGGGTCACTTCCAAAACGCGAACCAACTTATCACGTCTGCCGCCTACGAGGCAAGCAGTAGTCTAAGCGCCGTCGAGTCCGTGAACGTTCCAACGGGAACACTTGTCAGACTTCGCCAAAAGTGGAATGATATTCCGGTCCGTGGTACTGTGGTGGTTGTGGAGGAAGACAAGGGCCATTTTGACAGCGTGGTCGCTGGCCTTATCTATGGCGACATCAACGGGGATATATCCAACCTAAAACCAGCACTTTCAAAGGCAGATGCCCTGGATATTGCAAAGTCTGTTTTGTCAGCTGCTGAAGTTGCTACAGTCGCGAACGAAGAAGCTGATCTTGAAGTTGCAATTTTCAATTCCAAAGCCCATCTTACCTGGAAAACACGCTTCACCATGGTCAACGATACAACTGGATTCAGTGAGCCGATCTTTTACATAGATGCTAACGATGGTGCCATTTTGTTGACATTTGAAAGCCTCACCAAAGAAAAAGTTGACATCAGGGGCGTTGGTGGTAATGTGAAAAGCGGCAAATGGGTATACGGAAATGCTGCAGGAGACTGCAGTGAAACTGGAGTGACTCAAGCTCCGACACAAGCCCCGACGCAAGCTCCGACACAAGCCCCGACTCAAGCTCCGACACAAGCACCGACTCAAGCTCCGACACAAGCACCGAC